TTTCTGCATAACATTATCTATTTGGAATCGCTTCCTTATGAACCCCTAGAAGGCTATAAGTCGAGGGTATTGTAGCATCCTCTCGGAGTATGTAATTTACTTTTCATCATATGACAGAGCAAAGAATAGCGCATTTTTACTCAAAAAGACTGCATCAATCTCAACGCCATATAAGAGCTGAAAGGCCATGGTGCAACGTGAATCAACTATCCTTGTCTGGTGAGATCGATCTTCGAATCTTTTAATTCATTTTCATGCGGAATAAAAGTCCTAACAGAAATATTTTTTTCTAAAAAACCTACATCGTTAAAAGTTACACATATTGACCTACTGGGCTCACCGTGTTTTAATTGAGTCATCGCAGCGCGCCAAGGCCCCCAGCCTTCCGCCATGTCCACTAACAACGTACCACGCCTTCGCAGCGTAATGCTCGATGGGTGCCAGTCGCCTTTTCTTACAATATCCCAAAATAGCTTCTCATACGGAGGGCGACTGCTCTGGTGTGCTTTGCTAAAAGAGCACACCTCCCGCATGCCTTGCGTCGTCTTGACGGACAGCCCATCCACTCACTTCCTAAAATTGAGTGATCGGATAGTAGTCGCCGATTGCATCAATCTTGTCTTCGAAGAAGTACTTGCTTTAATTAAAAACACCAGTCTGCACTACGACAGGCCAGTATCTGTGTTCGTAGAAGCCATCGATTGTCTCCTAATAGGCAATCTTCCCGGGAATTACCCTTCCCATGAGATGGCAGCTCTCCTTCTGCACAAGATTGGGAGCATTCTTTGCGTGCACCGGGTAGTGGTGCTACATGATCGTGAACTATCCGCAACCGTTGACTTAGATTACATCGCATCCACCAATTTAGAGTGCTACAGTAATAATCAAAACACTGGATCATTCGTACAGGGATTAAACGCGGTGGTTAATGCCCGAATTTCGCATAGAAAACGTTCCAAACTGTGTATTTTAGGAAAGCCAATTTGTGAGGATATCACCATCACAGTAGATTCCAGGACGCTCGAGATCATTGCATTCGCGAAGACAGACCCCGGGGGAAACACGGTCAGTGAAGTTGCACCCTCATCATCATTCAGGTTGGACCTAAGTCCTAGCGAGGAAGCCGCGCGTACCAAAGTGACAATGCCCCACATTATATTGAGAAAAGAAAGGGCCTCTGAAATCCGTTACATCCCTGACGCGCTCGATGATTTTGACGAAGATGACCCAGATAGCGACCTAAACATATGACCGCATGTCAAACTAAACATTTTTAAAATTAAACCTAATTGACGTAAATAGCCATAATTCTAGTAGGTGACAGCGACTGCTGTCGAGCCATCCGTGCGACCGCTCGTCCAAGCAAATAGAGAACAGGGTGTGATGAAAATAAGTTTGAAACTGGCTCATGTGAGTAGTATAAATAAATGTACAATAGAA